TATTGTATATTTTTTGGCTAAAGTTTATTTTTTGAATTGTTTATTTTCTATTGTTCCTTTTTTAATTGTGCTTTCTTTTTAATTATTTTTTGTTTTTTATGAGTTTTTAGTCATTGGTTTTCAGACACCTTTCCCAACAAATCTGTATCTTTACAAGAATTAAAAATAAACTCCCTTTTAGGTTCTTTGATTAAGAAATGACTTTTTTATGAAACTCTTTAATAAATTCTAACTTAACGTCGGTTCTGACGGTAGTGACTTTTTTACTTAATAGATGCTATTACATTTTATTAAAAAGGCTTCGAAAACTAGTGCACTACAACAATAAAAATTATTTTTTATATTATTTAATTATTCGAGTATTGCCAAATACCCATCATCAGTGGTCTTGCAATTATTTCTTGTATTTAATTATTCGTAAATAATTTTTTTTTGAAACTGCAAGTACCAGAAATTGAGCTCGTGCCCTGCCAAATTTGCATCTCGTCAGCGTTCATAGGCCAACTGAACCAAAGCCTACTTGATTCGTATGTTCGAACTTGGTGTTTTGTTAATTTGCTGTGAAAGTTTCTTAACAAATCCACTTACTGTGTTTATATTAGAACGAAATCATAAACTAGCTGTAAAATAATTGAATTTATTAATTATATTTTTTGTTTTTAATTGTTAAATTTCAATACTATTATTTTGTACAAGCATTATTTTTTAAATGGTTTTATATTATACTTTCTTGTGTATAGAACCTAATCTAGGAACGTAATACGGAGAAAGTCATGCTAGTCTCGTTTGTACGAATCGTGGAGTAACATTAGCAATATTTTCTCTGTATTACGGATTTTATTAATTATTTATAAAATAAATATGCAACACGTCTAAAACAAAACCAAAATATTATTTACGAAATGTGTAGAATAAGAACAGCAATATTAGTATCTACAACAATAAAGATTTTCTCAGCCTTTTTTTCAACAGCCTTATCAACAATTAATTATAAATTAAAAATATATTTATTTAAATTTTACTTAATAAGAGTAGGTACATACAAGAATATATGAATTATAAATGAAAACTAATTGGTATTGGTTAAGTTGTTAGCATAGAAATAAATCTTTGAATTTGTATATATTATTTTTATGATGGAATAAAAATGATTTTGCAGAGAAAATACCATTGCACATTATTTTCTATCAAAATAAAGTGTACATTTTAGTAAAATAGCAGAACTGCATTTATTTTGATGGAAGCACAACACAACGTTCCTTCCATACGCTTTGCCATTCATAAAATAAATCTCCACATATTCCTTCTATATTTTTTGCACATGACTGCACACAAAAAGAACATTTGGACACATTGGGCTGGACTGTCAACAGCAGATTACTTGCAAAATGAATGTTTACTCACATGTCATTGAAATATTATTTTTTTATATGAATCATTTTCGTAAAGTCTTTGAAACTTTTAAATCAAAATTTAAATTTTAAAAAATTTAAACACATTAAAAAAATATCAAACAGTATAAAATAATTTACATACAATGTAATTGGAAGTGAGCAAATTATTCAGCAAAACTAAAGAATTCAGAATTAATAGGATAAAAAGCGTGAGTGAAAGATACTATCATCATTTTTTTCGTAAATTGGTAGCACTGTATAAATTAATATATACTTAATATACACTGTATAAATTAGATAACTTTATTCTCTCAATGAAAGCTAATAAGAGTCTATAATATAATATAATTGAAGTCTACTTTAAGACGAGAAATTCCATACTGTAAATGTATATTCGTATTTTATGTGGGACTCAGTAAAATGGGAATTTGTAATTCTGTTTTTATAGCCTAAATATGGGTTCATTTAGCACCTCGCCCTCTTTTCGAATTATGACACTTTGAGAGAAATGATGAGCGATAGTTGGATGTTAATAAATGACGAATTAAAAAATATAGCCTTCTATTGTGGAAACCATGTGTGTTTCTAGATAAGCTCTGGTAATACAATATGTACGATTTGTAATACAATAGGTATATACGATTTTATTATTTAAATAATAAAATTTATAAGTAGTAAATAGTAATTTCAGTAAAGTTCCCTAACATATGTACCATATACGAGTAGTTACTGATAAATTATTTAAAAATATTTTAAATGCGTTTTCTTTTTACCACCTTTTAATAAAAAAATATGTTTTAAAAATAGTTTAGATGCTTAGTCATCTTTAATGACAAATTATATCCATCACAACTAATTAGAGTAAGTTCTTTTTTTAAGATTTAACCTATTTATCACAATTCACGATAATTTTGAATTAGATTTTGAGGTTTGAAATGGAGGCTATTAAAAAATACTGCTCAACACGCAATGACTTCAAAAAGACAAAAAATAAGAAACTGCGGTAAAAAAAAATATACACATAAATATATATAAAAACATATAAGAGTACATGAAGAAAGTATAATTGAAAAACGCTTTACATTTTTAACCGTATTATTTGCTAACAAGTTAATATTTATTAGGGCATAAATATTCTAAACTAACATTGCTTTCAGTTCATTATTCATTTTAATTTTATAATATATTAATTATTTATTTTTATACCAAATGTAATTTATTTACCTTATGTACACATATATGTATGATTTTGCTCTTTCCGAAAATATGACTCTTGATAGATTGCAACAGTGGTGCCAATATTTCAGTTAGCGACTATAGTAAGCAAATAGTTGTTTTTTACCACACTTCAGAACTGCCGAATGCAACTATCTATTATTGTACTTTCTACACATGGTAAATTTTCCAAAATATTACTTTTTTATATACTTTTTGTAATAATATGTTATATTTTCGGAATATTGATTTTCTTAAACAAACATTTAAAGCTGATTGACTCTGTCAATAAAAAACAAATAAAGCTTCTGGTTAAGCACGTGAACATGATTTTGCGAAAACCTTGTCAAATTTGGCACACGATTTCCAAAATTGATTTTTGAGTTAAACTATTTTCTATTATGATTACACAAATTTTTTTTAATTTAATTTTATATCTCGCAAAATGAAATTTTATTTTATTTAAATTTGAATCAATTGCTGAGCATACATTAAATGTTTATATATTATAGATACAGAGAATATATTCTGTATTACCTCTATCGAAACATATGCTCCTTTCTATAAAACTTAAGTAGGAATAGTTAGTATTTTATAAAACTTTTTTGCATTTAACTGGTATTTGAATTTTAAATTTTACTTAACGCATTTTAATAAAGGACTTTATTAAAAAACAGTTACTATTCGAAATTAGTAGCATCTTAGGTAAAATTGTATCTGATTATATTGTATGATGCTGTTATTTTTATAGTAAATACAATTCAGTGTCAACTTACAAGATGTTGAGATAGCTAGACAGATAAAAGAGTTTTCTGCAAAACTCTATGAAGCTTTCGTTATGCGAATTTGGGTCATTGTTTCACAAATCGGACACCTTTTTGACATCATCTCCGATTTGTCTGATTTTTTTTTATGAACTCTTTTTATAAGCGGTCCCGTATCTCTTAGGAAAACAATTTTAAATTTTTATTCCTAAGAGATATGGGTTTTGACAATTAGCATATCTTAGGCTCCATAAATGACAGAAACTTGAAGTTTATTGTGTTTTAAATATAATTGATTGAACTTTTAAAAAATTATTCAAACAATTAAGACTGTTTATATTTAAGTACTAATATTATTGTATTTATACAATAAACACGTCAGATTGAAATAAACCAACAAAAGTATATTTTTACGTTAATGTAGCTATATACTGACTTTATCAATATGATAATAATCATATATAATGAGATCAAGTAATATGTTAATTAAGATCATAATTCTCATCAGCTTTACGCATATATATCTCGACGTTATTAAATGTGTTACAATTTCATAATGTCATTTATGTGATGGTAATTGAATGCTATTTTTAATACTTTGGATTTCCTTATGGTTCAGTTTCCTTATTTGTCTAATAGCTAATATTAAAAATATGCGGTTTAATAATATTTTTACTGTTGGTTGTCCATACTAATTTAAAAAAAAAAATCATTATTTATTACATATTTACTTGGTGTGGTTTATTTATTCGTTCTAATATCAGCTTGGTAAGCGTTTATTTTTTATTTTTGTTTGAGATACAACAATAAATATTAACAGAAATCTAAACAATGTAAATTGGTGCAGCACTTGGCTTAGAAACAACATTTTTGTAGAGTTTTATTACTATTTCAACTTCAAGAATACCACTTACTTTTATATATTCTTCATTATCATTATCCTATTCAATTTTAATATAAACTTAGTTTTTCAATATTTTAATATGAGTTAATATCAGAAGCAGATTTCGAATTTCTTTATTATATTCATTTTTATCAAATGATCCAATAAAGTTAAAATCAAGTATAATTTGAATCAATATCGTTAAGAGATAATCTTAAAATTTAACTTATATTTATATTAATGGTACCTAATTTAATATCAAAAATTAAGGCATTACCAAGCAAATAGTTAATTTCAAAAGAAATTACTTACAAACATTTTTTATTCATAGTATGAAAGAGATATTTTGACTTGAAGTATTTTACGCATCGTTTATTTTCAATTTTCTTGAATTTTTGCAAAGTTAACGATGATAACAATATTTTCACATGTTTATTTTAAATACTAAAATACAGGGTTACTGCATAAAGTGAACATGTTATTGAGCTGTGAGCAGGAAACAAACAAAGCGTGATTTTGCAATCATTTTAGGAATTAACAACACATCGCATAGAACAGTATCATGGGATGTCTACAGTATATTACTTGACATAAATGGTTTTGTGGCAAAAAATTTGTAGCAAATACCGCTTATGTTAAGTCCATCAGAAATAGTTTATTATCATTTTAATATATTAAGAGCAAAAACCAAAAACTTCAAAGATTAAATTTTTATTTTATTTTTATATATGTAATTTTACTAACCTCTTCAACCGCATCGCACTCGAAAAGATAAATATGCAGTAATGGATCACGTGGATCTTTCATCAAGTAAACAATTCCAGTTAGTGGACCAGTAAACTCCATAAAATTATTCGCATTGGCATTATTAGTGGCATCGTTGCTGACCGCATCAGTTGTATATGCGTTTGCACTTTGATATGCTGCCGCAGCACTTGCCGAGAGTGAGCCATACGATGTTGAAGTGGTTAAAGTTGTAGCAGATGGTTTACAACCATTCCCACTGGCGTGATTACAGTTACCATTGCTGTTACCATTGTTCGATTTTATGGGCAGAAAACCATTTCCAACATTTTTACTATTTGGTTTATGTATTATGCGACACATGCCCACAATATGTTTCAAGGGATGACTGAACTGCAGTTCAAAATCCGAATTATATGACTCCAGTACGCCATTTTCTATGCCAACGGATAGCTGTAAATGGAAAAAGGAATATATAATAATAATAATAATACGTACAATTGAAACAAAAAGCAAATATAATTTAAGTCACGTATTAAAGTTAATAAAAATATATTTATTATTTTGCAACTCTACGAGTTTATGTTTATAAGGGCTCTGTTTTGTAGTTTAAAGTATACCATAGAAGCATGAATGGCTTTTAGTTAGTTTCCAACACTTAACACACATATTACTTAAAGCTACATTTATTGAGGTCGCAGTACCTCTTCTTCAACTAGGTAAGTCCTTGAAGTTTATTATTCTTACCCTAACTTTTCAACTCAAAGTCTAACTAAACGAAACATAAAATACATAAAAACAAATTGATTTAATTTTCACTACTCTTGAGCGGTAGTTAAATTCTCATGCATGTCCTTGCACAATGCAATATGCATTTGTTGCGGCACGCTTTCTTTTTATTTTTCCGCACCTGCTGGTATGTTGCTCGCTGTTGCTTGACGTCCTTTGTTTTGTGCCAAACAATGATTTATTAACATACTAACAAAGTTAGTTGCAGCAAAGAATTAGTCTACGAAGCAAAGAGCCACAAATGTTGTTACCTATATGTTACGAGCAATGCAACAAATCCTTTTTCTTTGGTTTCTTCGCTGTTGCTTTTCTGTTAATTTGCGACAACTTGTTCAAATCGTTTAGGTTGGCAACACTGAAATCCGCTCAACCGTTTTTCCATTTAATTTTTTTCTTCTCGATTACTTTTTCTGCTACACCAAGCGCATTAATAATGTTAAATTCTTAATAAGACTAAAATGTTCATACCTTCTCGTACACGACTTGTATTCAGTATACTTTTATAGAAACCTTACTTTACGTACAGATATTTCACTCTTGCAAATATGGCGCATAGTTTCCTTCCGGCACTGCAATTAGTTTACGCTTTCTTTGTGGAAATTTTTATTCCCATTTGACATTGCACCATTAAAGATACAAGAAAAAGGAGCAAGTAAGAACAATACCAAACAAGTTAAAATGGAAAACAATAAGGATTGTTTGCGAAATATTTATGTATAAAATTATATGCGTTGTATATAAAAAAATATTTTTATATGATTTAAATAATGGTTAATACTGAAAAAGTCTAATGCCGACAAAGTTTTAAAAATATTTAAATAATCAGAGCAACCAGCACCTTGAGTCACTATTCAAATATTAAAATCCTCTAGCCTAAATATTAATATATCCTTTATTTTAAAATGAATATTGGATCTATGTTGAGACCAATTTTTTCATTTAAGGGAACAGAGTAATTGGAAGTTCCTATATTCATTTTAGAAATAAAGTTAGTAAAATTATCATTATGTTATAATGTTGTTTCTGTGGTATCACAATTGTCCATTATTTGAGCTCAAGTGGGCTTTCTTGGGTACATGATCGTCACTTCAACCTAACCTAACCTTAAGTTAATGCAAATTAAAAATAAAAAACAAACCAATTTAATAGCAACCGACTCTAGCAGTTGCAGTCACATCTACAAAACATGGAAGTTTTTAATAAATAATTATGATTGTTAATCAGAATAAGATAGAATTACCTTTTCAAACATTTTATATAAAAAGTATCTGGAATTTTTAATTTGAAAAACATACTATACCACTACTTTTTTTTGTAAGTGATTAGTACTGTATTGAAATACTAAGCAAGATACGGTATGTGAAATATGATATATTACATCAGTCTGTTTATTTCAGCTGTTTTAGCTATTAATAGTTTTGAGTGTTCTGCGATTACATGAGGTCAACGTTGTGCTGTTTTTTGGAACAGTTTTTTAGAAGAAAAAAAAATTAGCAAAAGTGATCGATTAACCCTCGCCCTTCGATATTTGGGTACTACTTGAATCACCGCAAAGATTTGTGTAACCAAATTATCACTAGTGAAGCTACGCTAAAACGCAACGAAATCGAATCATTGTTGCACATCGAATCATTACACACGATAAAAAGAATTATAAACGATATATTTAATACAAGCAATCATGGTCAAAATCCAAATAACTTTAAAGCCTGAATGAATGACGAACAAGGTTATGTTGAATGCTTGGGAAGTGTAGAAATTGTCTATTCCAGCCTAGTGTAAAGGTTAATTCGGTCTCCTATTGCTTACAACTCGACCCCTTAAATTAATCGAAACAATCGAGAAAAAGCGACTCGAAACAAATTGACGAAACTTGGTTCGGAAGTTTTGATGATTCAATATTCTTGCACCATCATTTCTTTCGATCTCTGCAAAACTCAAAAAACTGGTCGACCGAAAAGCTGCTAAAAATTAGCTTCACATCGATGGAATTATAAAGCTACTCGAAAACAGATCATAATATACTTGATTAAAATTTATTTTTAGCTTTAATTTTTATACATACATCAAATCATCATCAATAAAATTATATTAGATATATCTAATAAACTGGTATTAGATATATTAGATATATATATTAGATATATAGAAATTTGTATTTTATTGATGATGATTTGATGTAAGTATAAAAATAAAATATAATTAATTTTACAATCAAATGTTTCATATTATTAACATTAATTTAAATAGATATAAGATTAATATCACTCCTAGTTACTTCTGTTAATTATATCCGACACTCTCTTAAAGTGAACATTTGAATCAATAAAAAAATTTCATTTTTCTTAATATTATTTATTTTTAATCAAGTTTTTATTCAATTTCGCAATGTCAAAACTTTATTGAAATTGAAATCAAATTATTTACTTAATTTATTTTTAAGCTATAAAATTTTGTTGAAAAGTACTTAATTAAACAAAAGTCAAAGGCGAAGAACTAAAATCGATAATTAAAACTTTAATGCACAATTGCAATCATTTCAGTTCATTCATTAATTAAACTTGACTAAGAAATCGGAAGAAAAAAGTGGTGAAAAGGAAAAGTTTTGAGCACGAACGCCATTTTCCACTTTTCATTTATGCTGAAAACTTGCATGGCGCCATATAATGGCACCTCTATAGTTTATAATTGAGACGAACAGAACAACATTGGGGTTTGAAGTCCTTGGTTTTAATTAATATGAAAGTAGTAAATGAATTTAAAGCCCATTAAACGCGCTAAATTTTAATGATGTTGTTTTTTAATGTTTGATGTTTTTTAAAATATTTTACATATAATATATCTCATGTACATCTCTGCACGAGCAGATAAATAGTTTAAATAATAGTAATAATAATAGTAATATAATTTAAATAATAGTAATAATTTAAATGGTAAAATAATAGTTTAATTTATAATTGTTGTTGAGTTGTTTTTAATAATTTCAGATATAAAGTCTATATTTAAAACTATATATATGCACAATTAAACCAATAGATGTGTTCAAACGTCTGATACAGTCTACAGGTTGAATCAATAGTCTGACATTGTCGGGGTCTGCTACGGGAGGCTGGCGGTGTATATTGGGGTTTCAACCCAACTAGTAGAGTAGTTGTATATAACATAATAGTTATATAATTATAAATATTATACAGCTAGCTTAAGGTAGTTAGTAGAATAGATTAAGTTTGTAAATACTGTATATGGCTATAGGTTAGGTATATAGGCATATAGCTAGGCATATAGCATACAGCTAGCACACATTTATTGCAAAAAAACAAATCAGAGGCTTCTTAAAAATTTTTAAAAAAAACTATTAGTGTGAAAACATTAACATTAACATAAACATTAACATTCCATATAAAATCATAGGTGGATATACTCTATTTACATGCTTTTACATATATTTACATACCCACATAGATGTTAGTAACTAACTTTAACCAATAAGATACTTTTAGTGTTTATTGGTTTCATTACTACCACAATGAAAACATGTCTGAAATATTTCCATGTTCGAAATGGAATGTTGATATACAATATACTATAGTTAAGCAATTTAGATAAACTATTTATAATGCTTAAAAATAAATCGTTATAAGAAAACATAATTGATGAGTATTTGATATTTGAATTATAGGTATAATGGTACGAATTTTTAGTTTTCAAGAAAACATACGACTCCAACTAATTGGCAGGAAGAATTAAATATCTGAAGATAATGTGTGCCAAAGATAATATATCTGAATTTCTATTTAAGAGAGTATCACACAGTAACAAATATTTTCTGTTGTAAAAAATAAGAAAAATGTTGATATTAAAGTATGTTATACAGAGATATTCAAATAGTAAAGAGGTATGAAGAGATACTGAATTCATACTACGTAAAAATAATAAACAGTCTATACCAGGAATAACGAGACACACTAGAACTCACAGCAATAAAATAGTAGATAATCCGTCAAGAAAGTCTTAAAATGTTTAATCACATTAATGTTTAATCATTAGCTTAAGACGACCATTCATTCATATTAATATTAACTTTTGAAGGCAATTTTGTAACAAATCTAAACAGAATATAATACTTTATCCTGAAGTGAAATACAACAATTTGATGAAATATGGTATATATGCATATATTATTTATTGTTATTATTTATTGTATAGTAAGGAATATTAAAATAGAGCAACCTTTCGTTATTATAAAATATATGAATTAATAGTTACTTAAAAGAACACTTGATAACATTCTTTTTTTTTTCTATGTTTTTTAAACATTAAATTAAAGGGTTAATATATATAAAATCAATTTAATAAGATAAGGTTAAACTACAGTAATATCATAACGAAAGAACTTTTTTTATGGTCTGTATATTTGCTGAAACTAAAAAAGTAAAACAAGTGTAGATATATCTTATTTAAAAACAAATATATTCGATATTAAACTGTTATTTTTCGAAGCGATAATTTTGTCATAAAAAGTGTAGATTTCTGAATAAAGTTCGGTATACAGTTTAACGAGAACGATTTCTGTTTTCTAACATTAAATGAAAAATATATATCTCAATGCCACACATACAGATTATAATATGTCACGAAATTAACACGAAATGCCTAAGAGGTTG